AAGCAGTTATAGAACAGCACAACTCAAGGGGAGATGAAATGAAAATAAACTTTCAATTGGAGTCTTACAGAACTTACATCTGTCTCTTTTTTTGTTTGTTTGTCAGTTTATTTTGTTCATTAGATTCCACATTCTTTTTTTCCAAGAAAAATGATTTTAAGCATAATAGTCACATGCAATGAACCTTAATATTTCAAGAAAAACAATTTTAATATAATAATATTACCAAAACTGTACTAGCATAATATAATATCACAAAAGTTGCAGGAAATATTAAAAATCTTCAAATAACAGGATTACTTCTATTATATTCTAAAATATTTTTCCCTCTGGCTCTATTTTGGTTCATCAGTTCATTATATTCCACAAATGAGTGAGATCATGTGATATTTTTCTTTCCCCGACTGGCTTATGTCACTTCGCATGATGCTCTCCAGGTTCATTCATGCTGTTGCAAATGGTAAGAATTTCTTCTTTTTTACAGCAGCATAGTATTCCATTGTGTAGATGTGCCACAGTTTTTTAATCCATTCATCTGCTGATGGGCACTTACTAGTAGGTTGTTTCCAAATCTTGGCTATTATACTAGTAAATTGTGCTGCTATGAACATAGTGGTACCTCATTGTTGTTTTGATTTGCATCTCTCAGATGATTAGTAACTTTGAGCATTTTTTCATATGTCTCTTAGACTTCTGTAGGTTCTCTTTCAAAAAGGGTCTATTTAAGTCCTTTGCCCATTTTTTTGATTATTTATCATCCTTTTGTTCAGATGTATGAGTTCCCTGTAAATTTTGGAAATTAAACCCTTATCAGAGATAACACTGGCAAATATGTACTCCCATGCAGTGGGCTTTCTTGTTTTTTTGATGTTGTTTTTTTTTTGTTTGTTTGTTTTTTTTGTTGTTGTTTTTTTTTGTTTTTTTTTTGACTGTGCAGTAGCTTTTTACTTTGATGTAGTCCAATTTGTTTATTTTCTCCTTAGTTTCCATTGCCTTAGGAACTGTATCAGTAAAGATATTGCTACAACATATGTCTGATATTTTGCTGCCTATGGATTCTTCTAAGATTTTTATGATTTCCCATTTATGTTTAAGTCCTTTATTCATTTTGAGTTTATTTTTGTATATGTGTCAGTTGGTCGTCTAGTTTCTTTTTTTTTGCATCTGTCTGTCCAATTTTTCCAACACCATTTATTGAAGAGACTATCTTGACTCAATTGTATGCTCTTCCTCCTTTGTCAAATATTAATTGAGCATAAAGTCTTGGGTCAACTTTTGGGTTCTCTGTTCTGTTTCATTGGTCTATCTGCCTCTTCGTGTGCCAGTCCCAGGCAGTTTTGAGAACAGTGGTTTTGTAATATAGCTTGATATCTGGTATTGTGATCCCTCCAACTTTGTTCTTCTTTCTCAGGATTTCTACAGCTCTTTGGGGTGAGATTTTTTTAAATGCCCATAGCTACTGATTCTGCCTAAGATTTTATCACAGTGCTTCATAGGAAGGACTGTGTGGCTTCATAATGTGGAAATCTCTTCTGACCTTGAATTATAAGCAGGAAGTTCTTCTTCCCCCCCCCTTCCCAAGGCCCCTCTGATGGTTTAGCTTATAATAAAATATTATTCCAGCATCAGAGAACTCTCAATAGAACCTTCTTGCAGAGCCTGTCATGTAGCACACACTCAGGAAGTAGCTTTTGTGGCTTGCCCTTAGAGAATCACAGGCTCACAGAAAGGTTAGGGCTGCTCTGTGTGATTTGCTAACTAACAAACACTTGCTGATTTAAGGGAGACAGAACATGTGCTCATTAAAAACACAGCTTCTAGGCTCAAATAAACTTGGGTTCAAATTTCAGCTCTTCCACCTGCTAGCTGTGTGACCTTGGACAATGTCCTTAACCTTTCTGTGCCTCATCTGTCAATAATTATGAACATGGGTAATTATTGTACCTCTTTCATGAGTTTTTTGGACTACAGGAAATAAGGTTCACAGTATTTAATGTATAATAAATTCTCAAATAAGGGTGAACTAGAATTAATAGCTTTTTGAGAGAGGAGTCACACCCATACAGGCAAATGAAAACTATTGAGAACAGAACATGTCCAAATAAGCAAGAACTTTATAGTCAACTAGAGGCCCAGTGCACAGATTTGTGCACCAGTGGGGTCCCTCGGCCTGGCCTGTGGGGATTGGGCCGAGACTGGCTCTCTGACATCCCCCAAGGGGTCTCGGATTGCACGAGGGCATAGTCCAGGCTGAGGGACCCCACCGTTGTAAGATCGGGGCCAGGGAGGGGCCGCAGGAGGGCTCCAGGGTGTGTCCAGCCCCTTTAGCCCAGTCCCCATTGGCTGGACCCCAGCAGCAAGCTAACCTACCAGTTGGAGCGTCTGCCCCTGGTGGTCAGTGCATGTCATAGCGACTGGTCGAACAGTTGAATGGTTGGACACTTAGCATATTAGGCTTTTATTATATAGGATGAAGCCAAATCAGAAAAATAGGCTAATGCTATAGAAGACAATTCTTATGAAAAGGAGAAAAGAAACTGTCAGCAAGTATTGGGACAAGCTCTGGAGACTGTTTGGGGAAGATAACTTGAGAGTGGTCCAAGGCCAGAGTAGATACATGGTGTGTGGGGAGGGAAATTGATCAAGGTAATTTAGATTTCCCCAAAGCATTTGTAAGCCATTGAAATTCTTCAAGTATCAGAATGTATAAGTGGGTACTGTCCTCAACATAGAGAAAAAGTAAAAGAAACCTGAGGACAGTGAATGAAAAATGAGTTTATATATTCACAATTGGCCATTTTTAGTGCTCTCTATAGAAAACTCATAAAAACTCAGGGCTTTCTGAAAGTTACATTTCAAACTCATTAAGCCCTACAGGGAATCAGCAGGACTACATATGCCAATGTGGACAGCAACCAAGATATACATGGAAGTGAATTACAACACTGTTTCTTAGCATGTTCCAATTAGTACTACCTGAAAAAGCATATATGTGTATGCATGCATATATATGACTGTACATACATTTATATGCTTAAGAAGTGAGATGAGGGACTTAAAGGGGCTCTTCTTTATTTTTAAAACCATTTGTACTGTTTTCATTTTTACCAAGAATATGTATCATCTTTATAAGTTAAAAAGAACACCAGAAAATAATAATTCTAAAAATTCAGAATATTGCACAGTTCTTTGCACAAAGTAGGACTCAGTAAATGTTTGAATGAATGGAGGAAAGTTATTTACTTGCCCATCAGTTGGTACATGAGAAGATAGAAAGGAATATAAAAAGAAGTGAAAGAAATAGAAGGGGGGAATACAGAAATCACAGAAGCTACCTGGAGCAATTTTCACTTCCTCATAAAAAAAAAGAAAATAGAAGGAAAGCTGCTAAAGGAAAGAGCTGATGAGCACCTTCCCCACTCTACTGTTAGGATTTATATGACGGAATATAGTCTGCGGTCTGTTGGCCAATATTCCAATAGACTTTGCAAGTATGAGAGCCTGTAAACAGAAGGATCTTTAAGGAGCTGATCAAAGCTCTGCTGTTGGAAGGGGCAGAGCAGAGGTTAATGTTCTCCTTTTGGTGATAAAAGATGTTTTGCCATGAGAATGCATCTCAGTGAGAAGCCCAGGGATTTTATGGAAAGTGCAATAAAACATACCGTATTAGTAATAATATATGCCATTTGAAGAACACTGCTTTCCCAAATATGACAGTTTATTATGAAATGCCTTTCCATGAAGAACAGAAGAAATTAAAGTTGTAAAACCCTACTAGGTCATCTATTCTCTCCTAGAAGGTCTAAAGCAGATTATATTCCATCATATAAATCCTAACACTTTCAATGATGTATAAGGGGGATTTACATTAATAAATCCTAAATGAAAAACACAGACACAAAGCAGCAATACTGAATGCAAAGAAAAGAGAGCCACCTTTACTAATTCCCTACATCCCAAAGTGATTATGAGTTGCCAGCATGTGTTTTAATTTATATTTTAAAAAAGAATTACAACTTCATTGAAAGCTTAATAAATGAAGTTATCAGAGTCAAGTTAAAAAAAATGAACACAAATGCTATTTTCATTGATCATTTTAGAATGCTCATGGGAGATAACCAAACTCCTGAGCAAATATGGGAGATCTGGTCCTGTAGCAACCCACGTGTACCTTTATTTTTACAAGGCAAACATTCTTGGCCAAGGTGATAAGATGATTGAACCGAGTGCAGTGGCTTTCTTGAGATTACAGCTAATTTGCTCTTCAATGAAACCCATTTATACTGATCATCTTAATTTTGTTATTTAACAATGAGGACCCTTATAGATAAATTTTCTGTTTTATTTCACTTTAGTTTTCAGATTCTTCTATTTCTTTCCATTTTTATTCATCTGTGAAAAAATAGGATGCTTTCTAACTTTGTGATAACTACTCACTAAATGGCCCATAGGAAAGCACAATGGGAATCCAGACTTCTTTTTATTAAATTTTCTCTTTCCTTCTACTTTTTTCTCTTCCTTAGTCATTATCTAGAGATCTGGATGTGCAAACAACTTCTTATAAGTGGCTCTTCCTCTCCTGGGCTCATTCTCCCATTCTGTACAAAGAAGAGCTAGATCAAAGGAGTGCTAACTTTCAAAGGCATTGACTCTATTAAGTCTGAGTGACAAGACATACAGAAGTCTTTCTTGACCCTATTATCAACCTCACAGAGCTGAAGGCTCTCTCTATTTAGATGCCCACACCCTGGTGGAGCATGCTTAGCCTTCAGTGCTCTCCTTGGGGTAGTGAAACTTCTCTTAAATAAAGTGAGGGCATTCCACCCAGACTCTGGTTTGACCTCTCGGGGATCTCAGTTGGTAGAGGTTATGCCAACCAACTTCTATGGCACAATAGATACTCATTTGGTAGACATAGCAGAGATTCTATTAATACTTTGTGGCCTACTGAGAACTCCAGTAAAAAATCTCATAATGAGGGGTGGCCATTTCTTTTGAAGCACTGCAGTCCAGGCTCTGTGAGTTTACCCCGCAATCCCAAATCTTTCCTCAATGGATTAACAGGAAAAACAGTAATGGTGAAATTTAAGTGGGCAAGGGAATATAATGGCTACCTGACATCTGTAGATGGCTATATTAACAAGCAGCTTTCAAACACGGAAGAATACATAGATGGAGCCTTGTCTGGACACCTGGGTGAAGTTCAAATAAGATGTAATAATAGCCTTTATATCAAGGATGTTGAAGAAGAGGAAGAAGATGGAGAAATGAGAAAATAGCCTCTTTTGTGGGAAATTTTTTGTACATATATTTCTAGACAATAAAAATTTGTTTTTTCAATTTGAAAAAAAAAGGACTTGTAATGACAACTCACTGAAGGCTCTCCATGACCCTGCAATTATTTCTGCTCTAAACTACACAACTACACTGTCATCTTCATGGTGCCTGTTTCAGTTAGGGTTCCCCACAGAAACAGAAGCAAGGAGAGAGAGAGAGC